CTTGTTACTCGGGGGATTTCTGAGTCGCTGATTACTAATTAGGTGTTAATTTTTAAAAATTCAAAATGGCGGATCCTACACGGCGGACGACAAATGTAAAAATTGTTTGGATTAGAGGGAAACTTGTCACTCAAGGTTTTTTATGGTCTCTTATCAAGAATTTGTAGTTTATTTTAAAATTGCGATTGTGTATTTATTTATTTATTTCTGTCAGTAGATGGACTTGTTTCTTTCTACTCTCACTGGATTCGTAATCAGTGACCCCGAAAACCCCCGAGTAACAAGTTTCTGGTGAAACTATACGATTTTAAAAATAACGTCCGCTATATTGGATCCGTCATTTAAAATTTAAAAAATATAACACCGGATTCGTATTGAGCGACCCTGAAAACCCCCAAGTAACAAGTTTCTGGTAAAACTAAACGATTTAAAAAAAATCGTCCGCCATCTTGAATCCGCTATTTTGAATTTTTAAGAAATGATGTCATATTCGTAATCAGCGACCTCAAAAACCCCCGAGTAACAATTTCCAAGCCAATCCGATCAATCTGTAAAAAAGTTGCCCGCCATATTGGATACGCCATTTTGAATTTAAAAAATTTTATAATTCTGATATCAGATTCGTAATCAGCGACCCCGAAAACTATGAATAACGTTACACTTACGTTTTTTTAACAGGGCTCGAACCAGTGAAAGTATTTAAAAATACGGACTTTACGGACCAAAAATGAAAAATTACGGACCATTTACGGACCAATTACTGACAAAAATATATAAGAGTACATTTTTCTTAAAACTATAAATTAGATTTTTTCATAACTAAATAACATGAAGATATCGATAAGCAATCGATTACTTCATGTTTTATAATAATTAAAGATAGAGTGATAAAATCATTATCAATTCAATTATTATTTTCAAGAATTTTTAACTAAAATTCTTCTGAAAATCGATTATTTTTAATAATTTTCGAAAAAGTTCTTTGACAATTTTCAAATCCATTTGTTTACAATATTCAATTTTACGAAATTTCAATTATTTGTAAATTCTTCAATTAAATATGTATATTAGAAAATAAAAACTTTAAATAATATAAAAAAATCAGCAATTAAACTTTTTCAAAAAAAAAAAATTAATTCCACAGAATTGTTAGTTAAAAATATGAAAAATTCAAATTTTCAAAGATTTGTATCTGAAACCTTTTCAAAATTTCATTATTTCTAAAACTTTACGCTCTAATACTTTTAATATTCAATTATAATCTAAAATTTTAACTGAAATCCATTTATAAATCAATTTTTATAAGAAAATTCTACGAGAATTTCATTATTTAAATACAAAAAAAACAATTTATTGAAAATTTATTGAATATTTACATATGTTTCTTAAAATTGAATTTTTTTAAAGAATTGTATTTATCAATTTTCAAATAATTTGAATTCTTTTGCAAAATTTTATTAAAATAGTAGATATTAAAAATAATTAAATTAGGGAAAATTTTTGAAAATAATTGAAATTTTTCCAAGAATTTTATTAAAATTTTTGAAAATAATTGATATTGCGGAGAAGAATTTAATTATCTCTAAAATTTTGACGAGAATTTAAAAAAATTTTTGAACATAATTGAATTTTTGCGAAGAATTTTATTACTTTTGAAAATAATTGAATTCCTTCAATCATTTGTAATTTCTCTAAAATTATCCGAATTATATCGTATAACTTACGTACTTTACGGACCTTTTTCAATCGAATTACGGACCTAGTTCGAGGCCTGTTTTTTAACCGTCCAGTTATTTTGTTGAAAAATCTAAAAGTAACTTTAAAAATATTGTTATCAACTTGTAGAACATTAAAAAATGCTTCGATTGACCTATTTTTTGAACCTAATTTGATCATAAATTTCGAAATTATTGGTATTTTAAAAAGCAAAAATTATGGAAAATGACATTTGGGGCCATTCAAGCATTACGTAAGCATATTTTTCAGGTTTTTAGACCCCCCCCCCTCCCCCATGTAAGATTTTTTATATGCATTAGCGCCATTTTTTCTAATGGAAATAAGCAATAGCTAGACACCCCTCCCCCTTAAATGCTTACGTAATACTTGAATGGTCCCTTTTCTCAACTTTTTTGTTTGAAAACTTTTCTTTAACTATTAAACTATTATAACTTTCTTGTAAGGTATTTAAAAATTAGTGTTGCCGCGATACGAGACGAGGCGATAATTTTAACTGTCTCGTCTTGTCTCGTTATTATAGGGCAATTTATCGTCTCGTCTCGTGTTTCGAAAATATTACATATTATCGTCTCGTCTCGTCTCGAGTGTCGAGAATGCTACACATTATCGTCTCGTCTCGTCTCGAGCGTCGAGAATGCTACACATTCTAGTTTTCTCTCGTCTTTTTCAGCTTTTTTTTATAGAAGTATAGTATTGTAAAAAATTTGACGTGTTAATTTTTTTTAATGTTAATATTTATCTTAGATATACATATATGTCTGTAAAATTTTGTTCGCACATTACGAAAAAATGACTTGACGATTAAGGTGAGACTTGGTAGTCTCTCAGGTATTAGTCTGGTTTAAAATTTTAGCTATATTGGAATAAAAAATGTTAAGCTGAATAATAGTTACAATTTATTTTCAAATAATCAAAAATGCAAATTTTTTTATTTTTTGCATTAAAAAAATGTTTTTGTCTCCAATAACTGATTACTTGTTTTGTTTATTATCAAATAAATTTTATTTGCTTCAAATTCTGAATTCATTGGTTCAAAAATAATTTATTTCAGTAAAATAAAAATTATTTCATTCAAGTTCAAGTGAATACTTTCTTATTTGATTCAAATCAAATAATTTTTAAAAAGATAAATATAACTCTCTAAATCTGAATTAGTAGAAAGTTACTAATAAAATGGCGAAAAGTCGTCCACCAAATGATTTAGTAATATATTACTAACAAATAGTGAATTTTACTAATTGATTAGTAGATTTCTACTAACAATTAGTAGAACTGTTTTATTAATAGTCGATAAAACAGTTTTACTAATTCATTTAGTGAAATGAGTGACTTTTAATTAGTGAATTTCTACTAAAACATTAGTAAAATTTTACTAAGAATTAGTAATATTCTACTAATTTAAAAGGGGAAAAGTCGTCCATGAAAACTACTAAAAATTAGTCAAATTTTACTATTCCTTAGTAGAATTCTACTAATTCAGATTTAGAGAGAAAAGTTGCTAACTTTTTTAGCTAAATATAGAACCCACTTTCACAATAATATTTAAAAATAAGCAAAGAAACTGAATTTATGATCCAAACCCAAATTTTTTTTTCACAATTTTTTTAAATTTATTTTTCCGTTAAATATTGCTCATTAAAAAAACACTGAAAAATGAATTAAATTTCAACTTTTAGTTAAGAAAGAATTTATTTACTAAATATTATGTATAAAAAAAATATAATTTATATAAAATATTTATAATTTCTTATATTTTGTTTAAAAAGACTATTAAATGCAACGTAAACAATAAAAGATTTTAGTATACATATATCTATCATATTTTATATATATATGTTAACCGTAACTATATATTTTCAGAATAAAACTTTGCAATTTAAAAAAAATTCTCATCGAGAATTCTCGTAATTCTCGTCGAGAATTCTCGTCTCTCGTGACACCTCTCTCGTCTTGTATCGTTTTAGCGATAATTAAAAAAATACTGTCTCGTCTCGTCTCGAGTCAAAGTTCTCTCGTCTCGTCTCGCCTCTCGCCATTATCGCGGCAACACTATTAAAAATACATCGATTTATCCAAAATTTAATCATTTTTACCATATTTATAAAAAAGTTATTCATTTATTTCTATTATTATTATTATCATCTTTATGAAGAAGCCAAGTGTTCATGAAATGAGCACCAAAATTATGTAATTGAAAATATTAAATTTTAAAAAATTAGAAGCTAATTTACATTTAAAGATTTTTTATTAAAATTTTTGATAATTCAATTACCTATTTTCAAAATTTACAATAAAAATTCATCAAAAGTTGTTTTTCAAAAATGGTAACAAAATACTTTAAAAAAATAATTATTTTCAATGAAATTTCAGAAAATTTCAATTATTTAAAACGATTTTTATTATATAGATATATTTGAAAAATTTAATTATTTTAAAAAATGATTCAAGAATAATTTTTGAAAGATTTGTTTATACCTAGTTATTTTTCGCACTATAAAAATAAAAATAATTTGCATTTTATACTAAAAGATGTGATATTTTGTTGCAATATTTGGAAGAAAAGTCGAAAATCGCAATTTTTGAAAATAAATCGAAAAAAGTCTCAACAGGTTAAGTGACTGTTCTTCATTTTTAAATTTCTCATTGAACCTAACTATTGAGGTAAAATCAACATTTGGTTTCTCAAAACTTGACAGAAATTCTTAAACATAATCAAATTCCTAATATACCGAAATCATTTCTTTCAGTGTAGAGCATTAAATTGAAACCATGTCCATCTTTGGGCCCTCTCCCCTATTATATTATAATAAATATACGCAATAATAATAAAAAATTAATATTATTTATTAATAATACTTTTTCACCTTTTGCACCCTTTTTGTTAAATTGTCTCTACTTCATATATTTAGTTATTTTTTTTTAACTTTTTTTAATTTATCAAAACGTTAGCTTGCCCGTATATTGGAAATTAAAAAACTGTTTATTTTGACTGGCCAAATAGAGCCCCTTTTTTATTTGGCCATATTTAGATATTAATTGTATATTTTTTTAGATACACTAGCCACCCGTAAAAAAACTAAAAATTTTTTATACGCATTTTTCTCAAAAAAGGCACTTTTTGGGGGCGTTGCAGGGCGGTCAGGTGGGTTCGGTACCTTCCAGCACCAACTAGTCATCAGTTAAATCAATTAAATTAAAGTCAATTAAATTTATTTGCAATAAACTATTTTAAAAGAATTATTTTTTACAATAAATGAACTTACTTGTGAAATCACGCATAGCAGCAACATCATTCATTCTACACCTAAATTTCATGACTGTAATTCAGAAAAAAACAAGTTATATCTTTTAAATTTTACTAATATAGAATCCAACAATAATGACAGAAATTTTAGCGGTACTGCGGTACACAACAAATGTGAAGGTTAGGTTAACATAAACATAAACATAAAGGTACTTCCTCAATAGAGAAGGTATAAAGGCGATTCTCTAATACCAGGGAGTAAGACTATGGGCGGTATTCATAGTCGATACTTATTTCAAGCATGTTACGAGCGACTACCATCTCGCTCGTTAACTTTCGATATATCAATTCACGAGTTATCGAAGCGCGAAATTATAATATTTCGTTAATAAACTTAATTATTTTTAGTATTTTCTCACGACTTTAGACAAATATTGACGAGACTAAACAAGAAAGTTTGACTATTGTAAAATATAATACTTTACGGTTTAATAGTATCCAAATTCTGAATATGTATTTGAAAATCAACATTTCTTAGAATTGCCATAAATCAAGTAGAATATCGAAAGAAAATGTATAATTAAATTTATTAAAACAAAAGTATAAAATACATATTTCGAAATATAAACCTGAGACTGAGAACGACTAAAGAATATAGTATAATAAAGTACCTAAACACATTTTCATGTTTTAGCGGATGTTATTTTAAAAATTCCAAAGAATGAGTAATTGTACTTTAAGAAACTCAAAATATTTCTAAAACATCATAAAGATAATCTGGATTAAGAAACAGATGTTTTAATAAATCTAAACTCTTCGATTTCCTTCCAAACCAATATGTTTTTCTAACACTATAGGTACAATTGAAAAATACCCAAAAAGTATACTCCTTTAAGAAGTCATAAAATTAGAACAGCTTACTTTTATAGACCAGATCCTTTGTTCAGGTAATACTACCGAAATGGTACACCTAAAAACTTTCTATCCTTTTAACTTCAAAATTGTCACGTACTGGAAAAACCCAGTTTTCATTACTTTTTAGAATTGTTAATCGCTCAACTACTTTTTATAAATAATCGTAATTTCTATATTTCATTATTTCTATCAATCTAAAATTTAATCAACTATTATAATATTACTAGTAGTGAATTAACACTTGTAAATAAATTACCTTTAAGAGTTATAGTTAAACAATGAATTTGTTATAACTATCATGATCATCAGCATTGTATAATTTATTTATATAATATTTATTATAGTTGTAACACGTATGTGAGCATCGAATACAAGAGTAAATATACTTATTATAAATGTAAATATTACTATTAGTTTATTAATTGTATATAAACTGAATAATTAAAATAACTATAATATGATAAGGATAGGAATAATAAAGCTATGACGAATGTGTGTGTATCAACACCGACAGGTGTGACGTATGAAACAGTATTAGTATTGGTGAAGTGCATAAAGTGTATAGTGGGGGATACGCGTCACTTTGAACATGCGCATTTCCCCCAACCTGGACTAACAGCGGAGACCAACTCCAATTGACTATAACTACAAGTTAGATTTTAGTTGACGTTTGACTAGAAAGGTTGCTTCTAAGTTTCCTTAGTCGATTTTGTATTATTGAACTTTGATTTAATAAATTTATCGGGTTTACTCACAAGAAGTCTGATATCCATCAATAATTAATTTTATTAATTATTGATTGATTCTTTCTTGTTGTAAGGTTTTTCCCTCCGTTTTAACGGAATATTATTGTTTTTATTATTTGTAATTCCCGGTTCCTCTTAAGGATTTAGCCAAAGTTGAACTCAACGAATCATATCAGAGCACTTGAGTTTGCGTATTAAAACCCATATGTGCTCGTAACATCCAGTAGTATATATATATCAGTGGGCGCAGATCGTTATTTGTGTTCGAATTAAGAAGTGTGCACTCTCAAGGATCGAAAGGTGCAACAAAATTTGCTCCCACAATTTTGTTAGTGCAGTTTAAAAAAATGTCAAGAGAAGCGGCAAATTTAAAAATTTCACTTCTAATGGAGCTCTCACAGCTCTGCCTGCCTGCGCAGGCAGTAATTGGAGTAAGAGAGAAAATCAATTAGAGTGAAAGAGACAGTAAATTCAAATTTATATGCTGCCTACTAGCTGTGAGAGCGCCTTAACAGATTTAATTGACACCTCTAGCGATAGTAGTGAAGACGAATTATGTTTTTTATAATGAATTTTGTATTTAGAGAAAGACTAACATTCAATATTTTAATATTTAATAAAAACAGTAAATAATTTTCAATATTTTTAATATTTAAATAAAAATACTCATTATAAAGTAATTATTTGGTCTCAAAGAAATAACCTTTTCACTTATTTTATTACTGTTGTTGTTAGTAGTTCAAAATGTCAAATAATGTAAAGAAAATTTATATCAGAAATATTATTCGATAATTTTGTGATTAACAATTCTGCTATATCAAAACATTGACCGAATAAGATTTTAAAATTCTAATAAAAATATCAAATTTTTTGCTTTTAAAAATATTATTTATGTATACATCATAAAATATTTAATTTTAAGTAAAATAATTTTACATTTAAGAAGAAAATATATTGCATAATATAATGTATAATAATATATATAATATAATAAATATAATATTATATTACATTATATTATATAAGTTTAATTAAATTTAAACTTCGCGCCAAACGAGCAGTGTATGCTTTACACCATAGCAGTTCATGTTGTGCTCCTGCTCCAAAAACAGTCGAACTTTGCCAGTGTTCATGACGTCATAGATTGCCTCAGAGTAGAGCACAGCTTTTTGAGAGCAGAGTAAACTATACTCCTACACCGAGCAAGATCGCTCTCGGAGCAGATAACCGAATTCGCTATAAGTGTACCCTTAGGGTGCGATCCCATGTGAGCAGAATACGTCGGCCGAAAGCAGAAAATCATGAGTGCAAAAGAGATAGGTAGATATTGCTTTTCTTTTCACTCTCATGATTTTCTGCTTTGGGTCGACGTATTCTGTTCACATGGGATCGCACCCTTAAGGCGGTTCCAGAATAGGTGCAAAAGGCAAGGTGGAAGTACAAGTGCAAGTGCGATTCCTATACATTTAGCATTGGTTCGCACTTGCACTTGTACTTCCACCTTGCCTTTTGCACCTATTCTGGAACCGCCTTTAGGGTGCAGTCACAAGTCTTAACAAGCGTGACGTCACATCTCGAACTCGCAATATCAATGAACGTGGAAAGGCGTGGCTTTCATTTTTTCTCCACCCGCTTGATTTTAATGACATTCAGTAGTACTGCACGCGTTTGTCTATGTTATAATTTTACAATTACAAATCCTCAATTTCTCTTTAAACAAAAATTCATAATTATATGACCAGGTCTGCTTCCTTAGTAGGTCCTAAACGAGAGACAATTTAACAATTTATTTTTCTCTTTTGCTCAGTTTTAGTCGTTATCTTTGGGAAAATGGATAAAAGTATTAAACTTTCCCAAATTGTGTTGCTCTTAATTTTTACTTGTTTTATTGAGCCAGGTAAATATTTCATTTATGTTAAAAGTATAAAACTAAACGTCTTCAATTTCTATTTCATTTTCAAACAGTTGATTTTATTTCTAAAAGTATTATAACAATAATATTTATCTACTTTATTCGAATTACTAAAACATAATTGTTTTCATTTATTAAAAAAATTATTTTAAATTTTTTGTTGATATAGGTTTAACACATAACCCACCTAATAGTAATTAATTAATGTTTGATTTTTATATTTTCTGATTCTGTGTAACAAGTTTGTTGATTCTAACGTCTCATTTTGATTTAATGGGAAAAAAAGTTACCAAGTATATTTCTACGCCTCCTGTTGATAAAATCTTATTTCAGTTGCCAAAATAATAAAATTCCGGACACATGAACATTTCCCAACTTAAATTAGTCAACTTTTGGAGCGACGAATGAAAAAAAAAGAATGTCTATTTCTTCTTTGTTTCTATGGAATTTCTATTTAAAAAAAACTGCAAAAATACATATTTTAATTTGAAGGAATTTTGATAACTTGAAAATAGTATTTTATGTAATATTTATATTTTAATAGGATTTACAAGATTTATAGTTAAACACGATTTGTGGTTAATAATATAAATTTTAAATGAACTTTCCGGGATATAATTTTAATATAAGAGAAATTTCTTTTAGTTAATTTTTTATTTGAAAAATTTAACATTAAACCATGTTTATAAAGTCAGAGTGTCTAGCATCCGGGAATAATAAAAATAAATATTTAGTAATCCAATCAGGATTTTTATATAAAGGAAATTTAATATGCTCATCGAACCATATTTATAGAAAGTTATTCATATATTTCTATTATTATAACCTCTATGAGGAAGCAAAGTGTTCATGAAATGAGCATCAAAATTATAAAAAAAAATATACAACTTGGCAGCGGTTTTTTTTCTCGTTGTTTATAGAAAAATATGAAATACGTATTTGTTTATTTTTGTTTAATTGCCTAAATTTTTGAAATTTTGGATTTGTGAATGTAGACCTATTTTCAGTAGCTTATAAGTCTGAAAATATTGAGTTTAAAGAAAAGAATGAAAATTTTAGCTTTCTTTCAACTTTTAAGAAATGTAAAAAAAATTTTTTTTGTTTCATAAACAAATTAATTTTTTTAAAGGATGGAAGAAGTTAATAATCACTCCAAATCAATTTTTCTAAGTTTCTTAAATTTCATGTATCGTCACCACCGCTGCCCGAATACACAAGTACTCTCTCAGCTCTGCTGAGAATTTTATTTAATTTAATTTGAATTTTCTGACTCTTTTATGCCCTAAAGTTAAAGGCGCTGTTAAGCTGCGACTTTAACCGCCTATGCGTTCCATCAACATGTTTATAATCCATGGTTAATTAAACGTATACTATGTTCGCAATAACATTACTTATGCATAAAACAGAAAGAATTCAAAATCATAATATGTTGTTATTTCTAAAGTAGAATAGTTTCAATTAATTAAATAAGAAATTAAATATAACAATATATATTAGATTATTAAACATATGCGCACTTCATTATATTTTTTTAAAAGATCAGTTCTAATGTAGTTTCGAAAAATTAAATTTTTTTATTTTTAAAATATTTATTTTTCTCTGAATATTATCATAATTACAAAATAATAATAAAAATTTAGTTTAAAAATTTTGTTATTCAATATTTAAACATATGTGACCTGGTCTATGAAAAGGGACCTTACGTGTCAAAAAATTATTTTGTACTTTTTTGTTGATTCGGATAGAGTTTGAAACGCTCTTTAAGATGGTGAAAAACAAAAAGTCATAAGTTGATTAGAAGTTTCTTAAAAAAATTTTTAAAGTCAAAAGAAGCAAGAGTAAAAATACGAAAAAACTGATTTTTTTGTTATTATACAAATTAAAATAACGGAGACGATAATTTTTTATTATTTAGAAAAGTTGAAAATTTCTTTGACAATTGTCAACAGATAAAATTCAAATTTGATATCATATTCGTAATCAGCGGCCTCGAAAACCCTTACAAACACGTGTCACTTATTTATACTTATTGTTGCTATTTAGAAAACTTAGATTATTTTTTCTATGTTTCGGGAGTTTGTTATTAATTTATATAAACAATTGAGAGGCTGGGTGCTATAATGTGTTACGCGCCATGTTAAGTGAATGGCGCGTAACACATTATAGCATCCAGCCCCTCAATTATTAAAAAAATTTGTTTATTACTTGTATGTTTTTTATTTTAATACTGTGATCCACGGTGAAGAAAATAAGCCTAACTTGATGAAAAAATATTAATATTTAAAAAAGTTACAAGGGTTTTTCTAAGCTAAACTTTAACTGCTGTTTTCTCGAAAACTTGTTTTCGCACGTAAGGTCCCTTTTCATAGACGAGGTCACATATTATATTATTATATTATACTATATTATATATTATATATATTATTATTATTATTATAATTAATATTATATTATAATATTATATAAATATAATATTAAACATTTTACGAATTATTACTCTGGGTTACAAAAAAATGTTCAAGTAGTGTTTACTTAAAAATTTTTGTGTTTATTGAAACTTTAAGTGTCACTGCGAATAAGAATATGCCAAAAAAATTTTTCATTCCGTCAGTTCCATAAAAAACGAGATTAAAGAGTAAAAAAATCGGATTTTTAGCTCTTTTTGAAGCACTGGAAAATAAAAGCACAACTTGATAAAAATCTCTAAAAGGGCTCAAATGAAAACTTAAATTATCAACTTTAATGCTCAGAATTGAAAGATGATTGACAATTAACTGGATTTTTCAATACAATTTTCTGCATATTTCAGTCAACATTTTATTAATCATTATTATTATTATTATTCGGTTAGGTGGCTGAATTAAATTGTTGCATTTTTATAACCCTCCCAGTCTCTTACGTTAGAGTCAAGTCGTCAGATTTTCTAAATCTGATGCGCTACAATACTAAATGCCAGATCTCTGGCATTTTTTACAGTGAACGATAACAACATGTATTAGGTTAAGAGGATCATATGGTAATAGACCAGTACTACACAGTCTGCATGATTCATTTCAATTTTTTACATTTTAACAAAATTGTATATTTCCTTCTCACAATCGGCATTTTTATTAGAGCTGTGCAAAATAATTCGAACCGAACTGTTCGAATTTTTTCGCCTAGTTCGAATGTCGAAAATTCGACATTCGAGTTACTACAAAATTCGAACCGAACCGAGTTGTGTTCGGTTTTAGTACGCTAAAATGTCGAATGTCGAATGTCGAAAAACCGACATTCGAGTTAGCCCAGTTCGGATGTCGAATATTCGACATTCGACATTTCGGCGCCCCAAAACCGAACTAAACTCGGTTCGGTTCGAATTTTGCAGAGCTCTAATTTTTATACTTCAGGATACTCACTTCAAACAAAGAGTCCATTAAATCGCTGAAACAACTTCTCTGATAATTTTTATACTTTTACTTCTTAAAATTGCAATGCCTGTATTTATTCGCAGAAGATATTAATGTGTCTCAATATTTGATTTTTATTAAACAGGTTCTTCCATAAAATGTTGGTCCTGCAGATCGGATTCGGACCCAAAGTGTGCAGATCCATTCGACAATACCACTGTGCCGATAATAGATTGTAATCAAGAAGCGTCTCCTTTACACTTGGAAGGCGTGAAGTCTACACTGTGTCGAAAAATTCGCCAAAAAGGTAACAATTTTCATATATTTTAACTCTGGTATCCTTTCCACACCTATGCTTCCAATACTCGTTCTCATATCCACTCACTATTTCTTTTGCTTTCTTCGGTATACCAATACCAAAGTCGTGTTAGAACTGTTAGAAGTGCTTTGGTTGTACGACGCCACGTGCGGGTATTGGAAATAAAATATTATGGAATTTTATTTAACTAGTGCCTCGCATTCAAGCTCCTTTTATTTAATTACATTTTTATTTAGTTTTTCTAAAGTTAAACTAGTTAAAATTAAATAAAAAAAACTGCAACTCAAATGATATTGAAAAGAGCGACTGTAGCTCAATCTCTTAAGTATATGTGAGATTTAAGGTACTTAACTCTTGGATACGTCGTAAAAATTCTGAAATAAGCTAGAACACTCAATAGTTGAATGGATGTTTGGAAGAAATTCGGGAACTGTACTAGAAAAAGCTATAACTTATTCAAAAGTTTTTTTCATAACTTTCTCATAGTGAGTTTTTATGTATTTCCTGAAAAGTTTATGACACTAGCCGCAACTGTGTCTGAAAAATTCGGGAAATAGTCAAGGAATCTTGGTGCGCAAAAACCCAGTGCTCACCAGTCTCAACCACAGCCATTATTAAGACTTGTTTGCCATTTAGATTTATTTTGTGAGTTAAAACAATCTTATTATTTCTATTACTATTATTTACAAAATTGTTATTTGTAGGTTGAAATGTGACGTTTAATAAACCAGGTTTTGTGGTGGGATCCCCTCTCATGGTCGCTATATCTGACTGGAAAATACTATATAGGTTCCTACAAGGAATCCTATAAGGATCCCATGTAAATTCTTATACGATTCTTTATAGGGACATATAAAAGTTCCTATGTAGAAAACCCGAAACTTCCTATTCGAACATGTGATTGACGAACGCCGTTCCACCAAATTTATTTTCAAAGTTTTAATGTTAATATTTATAAATAATTGTAAGCTACAATAAATTGTCTACAATAAATTTTATAAATTAAAAAAAACTTATTATCAGACCCATATAGGAACCTACATACGAAACTATATAAATTTGTGTAGGTTACCGTTATAGGAATCCACATAAGATTCTTTGTATAGGAACCTATATGTGACTGCGTCTGAGAAAAGGGACCTTATGACCAAAAAAATCGATTTTTAGATTTAGACGATTTCTTACAATTTAATAGCTGAAGTTGTAATAAATTTTTTAGTATTTTATTTGATTTTAATATAAATTTAAGATAAATAAGAAAAAAGGAAATTTACGAAATTTATAAATCATTAAAATATGACATAAAATAGATAAATAAATAATCACAATAGATAAATATACACACAAGAATGATAAATAGAATCAATTATAAAGTTTACGTTTAATGTATAAAATAAAATATAAATCAAAAATCTCTCTTAAACAAATTTTATTACCAATTCCGAGTAATTTTTAATATAATGTTCAATTGTAAAAAAAACGCGTCATACATACACACATTCAACATACACAACCGTAAGACATATACATATAATAATCGAGTCAGATATTTAGATTTTCACAATTGAGAACAATATTAATTAAAATTGATATATAAACATTTATAAAAAAATAGCATTCAAAAGAGAGCACTATATAGAGAAAAAGATAAATTAATAGGTAAAATTAAAATGACTTATCGCTTGAACTTTTTGAAGTGAGTGGTGTTGAGGATGGCGTCGGATGGAGACCAAATCAGCGGAAAGCCAGTGGATCGGTGCAAACTTTATTCAGCACATCCGCAATGTTTCAAACTGCCTTCCGTTGCGATTCAGGAATCAGTATATATATATATATTTTTTATAATGCAGTTGCCTTCAACTTGTTTAGTATAGACGGCCAATGCTTTTCGGTCTTTCCGTTTGCGTCCCTTTCCTCTAATACACCTCGAATTCACCCACTAGTTTTAAACGCCACACCTTTAGAAATTAACAATAACACAATATTTTTACTTTAAAAATTATTCAACAAATTACTTAAAACCCCCTCATTTGCATAAAAAAAAGAAATTCAAATTTAACCCCACCACGCCTACCTGGTGTGTCATCGGCGATGGACATCAGAGTGGCGTGAATCGTTTCAAAGTGGTAAGGACAACTATAAATATTGTTGGCATATCCATATCTCATGCGACAATATAATATGGCTCACACATCCATAGTATTTGGAAATTGCTTCCGTGCGAAAAGTTGTCCTTTCCATTTCATTTGATAACGCAACAATATTTATATGGATTCCACAACCAAAACATTTCTTTCCTTGCATATAACCGCGTATACAGTTTATTTACTTATATGCTTTTATGATTCTAGTAAATGGTGAATGGCGATATTTTCGCCACTGCGCATTTTTGGGCGAGCCAGGAATTGAAGGAGATGAAAGATTTTGTTTAATGAGAACAGGTACTTACAACGTATTTATGGAATACTGCACATGCAATAGTAAAGATGGTTGTAATACTGCAACTTCCAACCAAGTACATTGGCTCACCTTCTTTTTCTTGACATGTGCTCTTATTGTCGGACGTGTTTCATTCTAAAATTGTTGACCGTTTGTATATTGTACATATTGTATATATTGTAACTACACTATACAGACTTATAATCTTTTTTTGCTATATTGTTTTCAATATAAATTTGACACAAGAACAACAACAGCGTTTGACTAGAACAAAAGTTTTAATTTTATGGATACATTCATACTAGAATATTAAAAAAAGTAACATTTACATTGCTCGACGGGAACACAAAGTTACATGTAAACACAAAAAATACATGAAACTAATTTTTATAAATATAAAAATGCTTCCACTAGTGTAAACATTTCTCAAACGAAATCAACAAGTATTTAAGATTATAACAAACTATAAACCATATTAAAATTTATGTAAAGTATTTTAAAAAGGCTGACCATATTTTGATACTACATATTTACGATTCTTACTTTCCAAAACAATGATATATATATATATACTAAAAATGACATTTTTACTAGTACTTTTTTACTGTACTTAGTTGTTTAATTAGGAATGAACAATCTTTAAAAACAGTGATTTCAAGCAATTAAAAAAAATACTCATAAAAAATAAATAAAAATATATCGTTTTCCCTAATGAAAATCTGGTAATCGAAAACAACATCGTAATTACTAAGCGTATACGACACATTTTATGATACAGTTTACAACGTAGTAAAGTACGTAACAGATTATGTACTTTATTTTTGAATACGACGTCTTCAACCATTTATTCTAATAAAATAAAAAATTAGAGTGGGGCAAGGTGGCGAGTTTGAGAATCAAACTGTCGTAAAAATTAACCGATTTGAATGAATGCTCGTAGTAATAAAGTCGCCACCTATCCCCACCAACACACTTAACAAAATACTAAGATATTGCTAACAAAAGCTTAATAATTTTAAAAAACCAGTACAATAGTCAATACAATACCTAGCAACCCACCCCTACCTATTGTTTGGAATTTTATTTGATGTAGTAGATAATGTAATCTACTATTTAGTAAATTACATCGTATGCGCTAAAAAATTACAATGTATCATTTTTAAAAATTATTTTCCATTTTTATACGATTTTTATGTAAGCTTTTAGACAGATATTTCTATTATTGTGTATTTTTACTAGTATTGAATCTAGTTACAAATGAAGATTAACACTGCATAAGAGAATATAAAGGAATTTTGTTAATTTTTAGGCATTACATATCTGTGAAGAAAAGGCATACAAATACTGCAAATTAAGACAAGTTTTTCAAAATTTTATGAGAGCCTTAATTTTGTTTTTTCTTTTAAATCTAGTTTTGCAATTATGCAATTTATTACTATTATTTAAATAATAATCTTTGAAATGATTTGCCTTTTATCAAGCCTTAAAAATTGTGATCAAGATATATATAAATATTGTATTTTTTCACAATTTGTTCAAAATTATAATTGATGAGGAAATGCCTTTCCACACAGACTTTATGTTTTTCTACATATTTTCATATAAGCTTCAACTATAAGAACATGAGTTTTGTTAAGTCTACTTTGTTAAGGCGTAAGGTTGCTGTGAAACGCAATTGTACTCTAATTTTAAGATTTTTTATTTAATAGTAATTATTTTTTATTCTACGATTTTTATAGAAAATTTTACAAAATCACCATCTGTGGATTGTCTATGTACTGCACAAAAGAATTTTTGTTTTAATTGTTCACAGTATACAAACGCCTCAACAAAAGAGATTCTTTCTTGTGTTATAAATAATAAATTTTATTCTTAGTTGAATAGGTTTAAAATCGGATTATGTAAGTAGTGAATAAGGTGGGAATGTCAATATAAAATAACTGAATTTATTTTTAAATTTAAAAAATTTAATATCCATTCTTTATTAATACAGAATATTTTAAACTAAACAGATGTTTAATCAAATAACTTACAATTAGTAATATCAGTCATGTTAAGTTGAGACTCTCTCCTTATATGAGAAGAATAAATGTATTTTTGTTATACTATAGAGAAAAAGATATTTCGGAGTATCTTTAAAATTAAGTAGTATAATAGAGAGAACTCTTTAATAAGACATTTGTGCCTTATTTGTAAGCTTTTACCTAAGAAATGTTCAATAAGTGATTGTCGCTTATGACTGATAACTATCAGCGGTAGCCATTATCAACTTTTATTAGAAATACAATTCACAATTGCCTGACTTGAAATATTCATCGTACTTCAACGGTGCTTAACCTCGGCGACCACAAATCAAGGTGATTCGTTAAGGGGGGGAAAGGTCTAAACGGTGAAAAAAAGCATGTTTTTAAAAATTTTTTTTTGTCGATACGCAGAAAGTTAATTTATTTTATCGCTTTGCATATAATATTGCAACATTTGAACAATATTTCTCTAAACTTTAATTAAAAAATATTAAGAATTAAGCGAGATAATGAGATTTTCCTCAGGCGACTCAAAAAAAATTGATTTGCGGTGTACACTCTAACTCGCAGCAGAATCATCCAAAACAAAAATATCAAAGTGCATTTGTTAAAGGAGATGTTTTTTGAGGTAACGCTGAGAGGAATTTTTTTTATTTTTCGATTTTTTTGTAGCACTTGAAAGCCAAAAAGTCGATTTTCGCTATAAAAAAATCGATTAATTTGTTATTGTAAAATTGGTAATTTAAAAAAAGCTCCCAGCGTTACCTCAAAAAACATCTCCTTTGAAAAATGCACTTTAATTTTTTTGATTTGGATTATTCTGTTGCGAGTTAGAGCGTACACAGCAAATTAATTTTTGTTTGGAGTCGCCTGAGGAAAATCTCATTATCTCGCTCAATTCTTAATATTTTTTAATTAAAATTTAGAGAAATATTGTTCAAATGTTACAATATTATATGCAAAGCGATAAAATAAATTAACTTTTTGCGTATCGCCAAAAAAAAATTCTTAAAAATATGCTTTTTTCACCGTTAAAACCTTATCCTCCACCTTAATCACCAATATTTATCTTCAATAACAATTATTTACAATACAATTTTTTTTATCTTGTAATACGTCTATGTCGTTCTGCTGTCAGTAATCATTAATCAAGAATTCAATATTTAAATGTGTAACAAATAAGCGCAGAATGTTGAGATACCTTTCAATTTTAACTTAATGGTATGTCCAAGTTGTGAAATGTAAACAAACCAAACACAAAAATCGCACTTTTGTAACAGCCATTTCTCTTACAAAAATTAACATTTTTACACTTTCTCTACAAAAATGAAAAATTAGAGTTTCAAAGTGTCCAAAAAAATCATTTTTGGCTATGATCAATAAAAAGCAATTAGTAAAATAACTAATTAAAATGACCAGTAAAATAGCATTTCTGACGTGTCGCGAAAAATAAACTGTTTGAGTATATCAACCGCACTGACGATGAAGAAGTCTCATGTCAGCGATTGGACCTTCAACATGTGGAAAGAGAAATTTTTCCCTTTCCTCCTTGAAATTACAAGGGAAAGGGTAAAAACTTCTTCATCGTCCGTGCACGCTAAAAAAAGTTCTACTAAAGTAGAGATAACAATCACTATAATAGCTATAAGTTTCACTGATTTGGCTCCATCGATAATCCATTTTCGCTGATCCAGAGAAAATGATATTTCTTGCGTTACCTTTTGAAAACAACATAACCTCAAAATAACACTTGAATAAAAACATTATTAAATTAATGTTCAAAGCGTATATTCAAATTCTATTCATTATATTTTTTATATTATAACTAATAAAATGTAAAATTAGTAATGTAAATGTAAATTTGACATTTGTGATTTTAGAGAAATTTCTATGAAAATGGTAAACTGTCAAATATTTCCAATATGGCTGACCAGTGAAATTCATTTTCTCTATATCACACGGAAAGAAAAAGTCCGTCAACCATTAATGGATTAGTATATTACTTTGAGACGGGACTCTTTTTCCGTTGATGGTTACTTAACTTTACTTAACGATTGAAAACGAGTCATGGATTGATTAGAATGCCAGTATGTGACCAATTGTTTTAGATTTAATGCTGAATTGTTATCAATGGCTGTTTGAATGTTTACGAATCATTAGTGAAAGTTTGTGAAACGTTAGTTGACTCGTATTCTAAATCGGCGCTCTTCACTAGCGCATTGTTGCGCAGTGTACCGATGCGCATTTCTTCCGGTTTCTCTATAGTCCATGTGTTTTTGCTGTCTGCTATACATATCCCTATATACTATTATGTGTAATGTGAATATTTAACTTAACTAACAATTTGCAGTTGAATTGCGTCTAGAAATTGACCTCGATGAAAATATATTTTCTTTTATATTTCTCGCTAATTAAAAAGTAGTTATTAGTGCAAAATCATTTCTCACAAGTTGTGAAAAATTTTGTTATTTGGTATATAAGAACAGTTCGCTTCTAAACTTAAAGTGTTATAAGTGTGCGTTTCTACGTGTAGTTATTATAAGTGCGAAAATGAGTTGGTCTTAAGCGTCTAAGAGTGTAAATAAAATATCGGAACTGTGCAACGAAAAAAATGTGTTCATTCTGTACCAAATAGTGTCTAAAATTAGGGATAATTCTGAAAGAAGATGAATTTTTTGAATGCTTTTGATAGTCATAGAAAATTTAATAGACAGTTTTCTAAATTTTAGTGAACGAGTTTTATATATTGATGACAGTTTTCTAAATTTTAGCAAGCAACTCGTCACTGATTGTGACTCAAAGTATGTTATCCATTGAATGATTTTGTGTCCCGTCTCAAAGTAATATACTAGTCTATTAATGATTGACGGACTTTTTCTTTCCGTGCAGAGAAACAGTTTGACTACTGCATTGGAAATCATTCACTGAATTAGTTGAATAAATTCTTTATGTTATTTATTTTCGAAATTAGCTGTTCCCCACAGTAAAAATTTTTTTCCGTGTGCAGTTGATATAGTCAAACACTTAAAATTTTCGCGATCTGAGACTCTGTTGCTCTCTGCGCAAGCGCAGAGCGTACTAAGAATGCATTGACAGCACCATGTGGAAGTGCACATTTTCTTTTGAATGAAAGTTAGTTGTTTTCTCATTTTTTTCAGCTATGCAAGGCGTAGTTACCAAATAGAATTCAACAATTCAAAGTTCACCATTTTCATAAAGAAAATGTGAATTTATATTTATGTACGAAAATGAGACGACGTGCAAAAATGCTTCAAAATAGCGAATAGTGAAGCATTTTTGCACGACGTCTCATTTTCGTACATAAATATAAATTCACATTTTCTTTATGAAAATGGTGAACTTTGAATTGTTGAATTCTATTTGGTAACTACGCCTTGCATAGCTGAAAAAAATGAGAAAACAACTAACTTTCATTCAAAAGAAAATGTGCACTTCCACATGGTGCTGTCAATGCATTC